ATCTGAATCATCAAGTGCTGTTTCTTCATCTGAATCATCCAGTGCTTCTTCAACAAGTGCTGTTTCTTCATCTGAATCATCAAGTGCTTCTTCATCCAGTGTTGTTTCTTCATCTGAATCAAGCTCTGCTCCAGCAAGCTCATCATCTAGTGTTTCTTCATCTGAATCATCAAGTGCTGTTTCTTCATCTGAATCATCAAGTGCTTCTTCATCCAGTGTTGTTTCTTCATCTGAATCAAGCTCTTTACCAGCAAGTTCATCATCTGAATCATCTAGTGCTTCTTCATCTGAATCAAGCTCTGCACCAGCAAGTTCTTCATCAAGTGCTTCCTCATCAAGTGTTGTTTCTTCATCTGAATCATCTAGTGTTGTTTCTTCATCTGAATCAAGCTCTTTACCAGCAAGTTCTTCATCTGAATCATCTAGTGCTTCTTCATCTGAATCATCAAGTGCTTCCTCATCAAGTGTTGTTTCTTCATCTGAATCATCTAGTGTTGTTTCTTCATCTGAATCAAGCTCTTTACCAGCAAGTTCATCATCTGAATCATCTAGTGCTTCTTCATCAAGTGTTGTTTCTTCATCTGAATCAAGCTCTGCACCAGCAAGTTCATCATCTGAATCATCTAGTGCTTCTTCATCAAGTGTCGTTTCTTCATCTGAATCAAGCTCTGCACCAGCAAGTTCTTCATCAAGTGCTTCCTCATCAAGTGCTGTTTCTTCATCTGAATCAAGCTCTTTACCAGCAAGCTCTTCATCTGAATCATCAAGTGCTTCTTCATCAAGTGTTGTCTCTTCATCTGAATCATCTAGTGCTTCTTCATCAAGTGTTGTCTCTTCATCTGAATCGTCAAGTGCTTCTTCATCTGAATCATCTAGTGCTTCTTCATCAAGTGTTGTTTCTTCATCTGAATCAAGCTCTGCACCAGCAAGTTCATCATCTAGTGTTGTGTCTTCATCTGAATCATCAATTGCTTCTTCGTCAAGTGTTGCTTCATCATCTGAATCAAGTTCTGCACAAGAAAGTTCTTCATCCAGTTATGTCTCTTCAAGCTCTTCTGGTACTACTTCTTTTGCACCAAGCTCCACTGTTTCAACTTTATCATCCTCATCGAGTGGTACATCCTCTTCAGGCTCTGTTTCCTCAAGCACTTCCTCGGAATCCAGCGTGTTCTCAACATCTTCATTCTCAACAATTTCTCCACCAACGTTCTCATCCAGTTCATATTCGTCCAGTTACATATCACCACCTTACCAAAATTCAAGCATTTTCAGTTCATCCAGCTATGTTCCTTCCGAGTCAAGTTTCATTTACTCTAGCTCAAGCTCTCTTGGAACTTCTGAATCTAGTGTATTGCCTCCAACTTCAACTATCTCAAAGTCTGAAATTCCATCAAGTTCATCATCTGGATTCAGTTCAGCTTCTTTCAGTTCCAGTTCTGTCCCACAAAGCTCTTCTATATCCACCTCATCAATCTCTTCAAGTTCAAGCTCTGTGTCGGTTACATCTGAGTCAAGTTCAGCGTCAACTTCAACTATTTCGAAGTCAGAAATTCCACCTAGCTCATCTAGTGCTTCAAGCTCTGCTATTACTTCATCTTCAGTTGAATCCACTATCTCATCATCCTCTTCAGATTTGAGCTCTTCTTCAAGCACAACTTCTGTGGGTCCACCTGCTTCCACATTATCAACTATTGAATCATCTTCAAGTTATTTGTCTAGTTCAAGTGTTCCTAATGGTGGTTCAAGTGTTCCAACTGGTCCAACTTCTGGTGGTTCAAGCGTTCCTACTGGTGGTTCAAGTATTCCAACTGGTCCAACTTCTGGTGGTTCAAGCGTTCCTACTGGTGGTTCAAGTATTCCAACTGGTCCAACTTCTGGTGGTTCAAAGCGTTCCTACTAGGTGGTTCAAGTATTCCAACTGG